TTTTTTTTTTTATTTTATTTTATTTTTTTTAACTAGAAGAACCAAATCTGGAAGCCCCCATAGAGGCTTATTTTTTGTGTGTCTCTTGAGTTTGTCACTCACGTGTGCAACAGGGTACGGAGCATCTGGGTGGCCCCGCTGGTGGGCTGGCCGATCCCAGCTGCCGTGGGCAGTCACTTCTTTAGAGCAGCCACGCCCGTGTCCATGAACTAGGGGTGCCGTCGAAGAGCCCATGTGAGAATTGAGCCCTGGAACCTCAGGCTGGGAGCAGAGAGGACTGTGGGGTGAGAGGTGGCAGGTCGCCCAAGACTCCCGCAGACTGAGCTCTTTCTTTGACACCGCCTCTGGGAAACACATCCTCCTGGAAGGTGACATGAGGGGTCCTGGGCACAGCTGGCTCTGAGCTGCTCCGCAAAGGGCCGGGCTCACCTTCTATGAGCTCCCGTGGCCCTGCCCCGGCTGGAATCAGGAATGTTCCAAAGAGTGATAGTCTTTTGCTTTTGGCAAAACTCGACTTAATCCAATGGGTTTTTCCCTGTACAGTAGATTCCCCCAGCGTCATAAACTTTAATATAAAGTAGCCACGCGGGCTCTGCTGCCTTTGCCTCTTCTCTGTGCTGGCCGTGTGCCGGTGACGGCCTTTTCTCTAAGCACCACGATATTGGGAAACTAGGAGCCCCGGCCTTCATCCTTCCCGAGGGGAGGGGCTCGGGGCCAGAGTCTCTCCAGTTTGTTTGGTTTTTGTCTTTGCTAATATTCTTCTGGAGGTCACTTGGTTCAGCCAAGGTTACATAAGTCCTGATGTAAATTTCTGCGTTGCCAAGCTCAGAGCACCATCTCCTCAGTGGTTAACGAAGCTGCGACGCCCCCAGTGCAGCTTGACCTGAGGTCGCCAGCCCCACGGGGCCTGGAGCCAAGGCCTCCCTCTCAGACACCTTGGACAGGCCTCCTTCACACCTTTGCTAGGAGCGGAGGCCCCCGCCTGGGGCTTCTGGGAACTCCTGTGCTTGCTTATTTAATTTGACAACGTTCCAGCTGCTCTGAGAGGGGGGGACGTATGTGACTCAGAGAGACGCACCACCAAACGAGGGAACCTGTCCTGTGTTCAGTACTGGGACTCTCTGCCCGGAATGGATGACTGGACGTGACTCGAGGGTGGGGAAGGGGTCTGTGAACGTGCTCATCTCTGCTGGTCCCTGGGACAGTGCCAAGCCTGTGGCTGGGCTCATTCGTGTAACTCTAATAAACGGTACTTGTCATTCCGGGCTGTGGTGGTGGTCAAGTGTCTTCTTGGTCTGGCGATGTCCTGCCCCGTCTCCTTCTGGTGGGGGTAGCCTGGCTCTGGGCTTGGTGAACAGCAGAGGAGCTGTGGCCGCCTCTGCCCTCCTGCACCCACTGTCTTCCTTTTCCCCAGGGCTCTCTGCCTACTCTCCTTCTAGATCATTCCCTTCCGCAGGACACAAGGCTCCCTGCTGACCCCAGTGTGCAAGCCCTTCTGTGTGCTCATTGTCCTGGGACCCCTGACAACTCATTAGCAAATGGTCTGTGGTGCCCAAGGACTACTTATCCTGCCTGCACATAGGGAAGAACTGCGTGGAATTGAGGGGGTTGGAAAAGCTCAGCACTGCAGGAGCCCCCAGTGCCCTCAGGGCACCTGGTGGCCCTCATCTGACTCAGTCTCATGTAGGCTGTGGACCCCCACCCAGCCCCTCAGCTGTCCCCTCATGGCAGATCTCCCCACAGTCCGGTGCTGGGTCCAGGCCAGCCTCTGACACCAGACCCCAGGTGTGTCCTAGGGACATAGGGAGGGACCATTCCTGGGTCCTGTACCTGTGAGTGGAGCAGGGACTGCAGGCTCCAGGCAGCTTGGCAGAGTGAAGGATGCTACTCTCCTGATACATTGTGCTAAGATTTGGAGGCTGGGACGCAATCCTCAGATCAACGGACACTTAAAACACCTGTTTTCTGCCAGGCCCTGGGTGACAGCGAGGGCACAGTTGTGGAAGAGGCTGCCCGGATTTAATTAATGCTGCTGCTGAACTTACTATGGGCCAGACACTGCTGGACACAGCACCTGGCTTACTCCATTCACTACTGAAAACTCCTAATGCGGCAGAGAGAGCACTGCTATTAACGATCCCCGATTTTCAGACAAAAGCTGCCACACGCACAACAAGGATCTTGCCCAAGATTGCGTGCAGGTGAGCGGTGGAGCTGGGGTTTCACAAGAGCAGCCTGGCCCCTGAGGCCACAGTGGGCCATGCACAGAGAAGGTGGCACTAGACCAGGGAGGGTGCCCCTCCACCAGCAAGATTTTGAGACCCCAGCTTTCTGGGCCACCTGCTCTTGTTATATCCCAGTAGGCTAAACTGCACCCCAGTCCCACCCTGTTCTCTGCTGAATCCTCTCTTCTGCTTCCTGCTCTTTCTGGGTCACACCTCTGGCCTTTCCCCAGGGCACTGTCCAGATGGGTGGTGCCAAAACAGGCTTGACTTAACAGTAAAGAAGCTAAAATGTGAAGGGGTCTTCAAGTCCCTTGGGCACCCTGGCCTCAAGGAATTTCTCTCGGCCCATCTCTCCCCAGGCCTCAGGTTGTGCCCCACTTCCCAGGCCTCGACCCCTTCTCTCCTCTTTTCTGCTTTCCTAAGACTCCTGGCCACGCCTGGAACCGAGCAATTGAGTAAGATTTCATTTCCCCTCACCTTTGGATCACGTCCATGTGGCTTGGGTGTGTGCTCCACAGTGTTTCGGGATGAGGGATTCACTGAATTTTCCACTAAAAGTTCATTTCCGTTATTTTCTGAACAAATGAGCCATCTTTGACTGTGTCGCCTTCTTAATTTTCGGCCAGCTTCTGCCTGAAATCGCTCTTTCTGCCTCGCTCGCCTCCAGGGCTTTGCTGGGGACAGCACTGGGGTTTCAGCCTGTTCACAGGGAGTCTGGGGTCCAGGGGGAGACAGACAGGTGAGCGCAGTTTCAGTGACAGTGCTGTGTGGGCTGGTGGCATCGGTCCCAGAGGCGGTGCTTCACTGGGTCTTGAAAGACAGATTCTAATTGACCTGAAACAAGGGCCAGAAGGGTTCCAGGCAGAAGGCACAGCTTTGGGGAAAACAGGAACTCGAGAGGCTTCATGCCAGATGTGAACTGAGGCAGGTGCGGGAAGAGGTGCGGCTGGACCCTCTCGGAGGGCCTCAGGGGAGCCAGAAGCCACAGGGTGAAGCCCAAAAGATTAGGAGTTGCAGAGGGATGGGGGTGGGGGGACTGGATCCCAACGGCAGTGAAGAGGCTGATGTGGGGAGGGATGGAAAGGGGGGTTGGGTTTGAGAATTTGTTAAGAGGTAAAACTGGCAGGACCTGTGAGGCTTGTCCCCAATTCCACAGTGGCACCTTGCACTCCCCCAAGTACACTAAGTGGAGCCTGAGGGAAAGGTGCCGGTGATGAGGCTGTCCTCTGAGGTGGCAGTCAGGGGTGGGGCTGGAAGGACAGACATCCCAGAGCTGGGCCTCCAGGGGGTGTCTCATGCCCCCAGCCAGGTTAGGCACTAATTGATGGTAGGTGGAACGAAAACAGCATCTGGGAGAGAAGTCCTTTAAAAGGGTCTGCAGGGGACTATTCCTTGGAGCGGAGTGCTAGTGCCATGTTGCACCTGGGAAGCACCCTGTCCACCTCTCTGCCTAACTCCACCCCACCTTCCTCTCCATCCTGGCAGAAGAGAAAGGTGGGTGGAGATGGGCTCAGGGTTCCTGGAGCAGGAACTGGGGGAGGGCCATGGGTGGGGAGCCTGGAGGGGCTTGGGATCCTGCTAGCTCTGCCTGGCTGGGGACACAGCCCCTATCTGGCTGTCTCCCTCCCTCTCACTCCCCAGCACCACTGCACCCCCACCCAGTGCCTATCTTTGGGCCACGCCAGCTTTGCTCCTACTCAGGGTGCGTGACTGCGCCCCCAAGTCAGGCCCTTAGCAGTGCTGTGTCCCACGCCTGCTCAGCTTCCAGGATGGGCTCAGAGATTCTCCAGGGAGAGGCACTGAGTCCTCTGTGCCCTTGTAACTTCTGGGCCACTCGGCACCTCTTGGCATGTCCTCAGAAATGTCTGTTTCCCACTAGCTTCCTGCTACCCTGGGTGCATTTTGAGGGCAGATAT